TTAAGTGAAAAAAACTATATATATATATATATATATATATATATATATATATATTGGGTTTCAATCCTGGCTTGAGGCAATCGGATGTCTAGCCACACTGATGAGCTGTGGTACAGCGAAAAAGTCTGTCTGTGAATGACGCATAAAACGCCCCCGATAAAATAAAATTCAGTTGAGCACTTAAAAGGGAAAGGCACGAATTTGTAAATAGTGACTGCTACTGCTGATAGAAAAGCTCTTCTATGAATTGAGCACTCTGCGTCATTGGCGTCTTTATTCTAAAATAAATACATAAAAATTCATCTTCTTCTCTGTCGGGAGCTGATAGCTCAGGGGGAAAATCTTCGATTGATACCAACTGGATTGGGTTTCAATCCTGGCATGAGGTAATCCGATGTTTAGCCACACTGATGAGCTGTTATACAGCGAAACAGTCTGCCTGTGGATGACAAACACACACACACACATATATATATATATATATATATATAGAGAGAGAGAGAGACAGACAGAAACAAATATGCGTACACATACAATTTTTTTAGTTAGGTATTTTCAACTAGATTTTGCAGTGTGCTTAGGATCATTAACTTTTTGAAAGATCCAATCAGGAGAAATTTCAAGATTTTCAACCGAAATCATTAAATTTGCTTCAAGAATATTTTGATAAGCTGCGGCATTCATTCTACCATCTATTTATGTAAATGAAGATTATGTATTCTTTTTGGTATTGTACGAATTCTTTTTTCACACATTAATTTTTTTGTTTTCTATGCATATTTAGTTAATACGCATTTGTGTACATTTAATTATATAAAAAGTATATTTATTCATTAGTTGGAAATACAATAAATTAATATTGTACTTGTACAAATATTTGTTTTCCCTCACTGTATATTTATTATTATTATTATTATATAAAAGCGGGCTTTGAGGTCAACACCCAACGACGACATTCTGTTTTATACTTAAAAGGCGATTGAATTTAAGCATGAAACAGACTGTCGAATATGAAACTATTCTACGAAAAGTGTTTTCTTTGTGCTTTGTTCTTTGTGATTTACAAAAAAGTTTAAAAATTCAATTGGAACATTTCAATACGAAAATCCACCGACATTTTGCAATATTTTTAATACCAAATCCGTCCCTGTCCTCCGGACATAGGCGATCATATCCGTGCTTGGAATTCTTGGGAAATATTTTGGTGAATTTCCATTGCCTTCTCCATTGTTTGGAATTTTTCTTCTCTTCGATGGATGCCACCAAGTCTAGGAAGATACCCCTGCTAATTATCCTATTGCTAGGGTAGGGAGAGAGCAGAGATATCTTCATGCTTTTCCTATGCATATTTGTGTGAAAGTGAACGCAACAGACTCATCTGGAACTCGGGTCTACGATTGCACTTACGGCGCTGATATCCGTTACACTATCCGTAGATTTTTTCTTTTTATATTTATACGAATTACGACAACGTAATGAAACCTACAATGTTTATTCATTAATTACGGAAGGGAAATCTAATTTTAATGAAAAGAAAATATGATCGTAATTTCTAAATATCTCGTCCAACAATCTGTTGTTGACTATCTGTATTCATTTCATAGCTAACCAGTGCTGTTTAAAATAAAACTACTTTGATAACTTTTGAATGAAGTTTTCCGATTTATTATTTAATACATTTCAATTGATAATGTCCAAATGTTTTCAAGTCTGGAGTTCAAAAACAGAATCAACAATTCGTTCAATAAGATTTTAATTAAGGCCAGTGAGAAAAGTCCATAGATTTTCTAGTCTATTTTTAAGTTATAACCGCTTCAAAGGAAACAGACTTTGAAAGGCATACTGCTTTACCCTCACCTGTTGTACGTTGAAGCAAGCTTAACATAATTAAAAGACTGGCGACATTATTCCGGGCGAGTGAATCGAAATGCTGTCCAAAATTCATTAAAATGAATTGATTTACCAAATAATTTTGTATTTGAGCCAGAATTTGTTATTCTTCTGGTAAAGGCGTATTTTCTACAACTCACGGTCCTGGGTTCAAGTCCATAATTTGCCTTTTCATCTCTTAAAGCAACAAGAACTGATCCTTATAAAGGAATAGGTAACGAAACGATTATCGGTACGGAAGGTGGCATCAGAGAGATGGTTTCAAGTTCCATTCGAGCCTGTTACGTTTACTTCTCATAAATGCCATTGGCAAAGGTATGAATCCACCTTTTCTCCAACCCATCAAACTTACGGGTTAAATAGCAGAGTAGAGTGGGCTTTCTAATAGCGCCTAGAAAGACAACTGTGGATTCGAAACCGTGACGACAGTCACGGAAAAACTTTCTTCTGTATTGACTTTGAGGCGTGAAAATAACAATCATTATGCAGTGCAGATTCCTGAGTTTATATATATATATATACATAGCTAGCTAGCTAACTAATTAGATAGATAGATAGATAGATAGATAGATAGATAGATAGATAGATAGATAGATGCACACACAGACATAAATATATATGTACGTGTGTGTGTCCATATACATGTGTCTGTGTATCCGAAACTTTTCACATCTTACAATTGAGACCTTTTATAGTATATATATATATATATATATATATATATATATATATATATATATATATATATATATATATAAGTGGACATTGACGTCAATGTCCAGAGACGTCACTCTGTTTTATGCTAAACGCAATCGTCAGGCTAGTACCAGGGCGTTGACCTCAATGTCCACTTTTATATTTACATACGCTCTATCTCTGATATTGAGCACTTTGGCCCATAAATATAGCAAACCTTAAAACTATATTTTATCATATATACATATATATATATATATATATATAGTGTTTCATGCATTAAGAAATGGACAAAGTCCGACAATTTATTAAAGATATTTTTATGTTTAATATTCTTTTTATAGATACAAGTATTTAAGTAAATGCTCTGTTTATAATAAACAGTATTAAATAACATTTACCGGCCTGAATATCCGAGAAATTTTCATAAAAAATATTCGTCCTTTGACAGGATTGGAACCTGCATCCTATACGGAACCGTCATTTAGCGTGACGTGCCTAACCTCTCGGCCACAAAGGATCATTCGGTTGTTTAAATTTGATACGCCAGGAGCAGTTATGAATGTACGAGATTCATGGAAGATTGAAGTTTATAAGCAGTAAATTCGACCTTGCCAACCGTTCTCATCCTGTCAAAGGACAAATATTTTCTATGAAAATTTCTCGGACATTCAGGCCGGTAAATGTTATTTAATACTGTTTATTATAAACAGAGCATTTACTTAAATACTTTTATCTATAAAAAGAATGTTAAATATAATATAGTGTTTCATTAAGACGGATCAAAGTCAGCAGTAAATAAATCAGTGTTATTGGTGAAAATTTATTTATTTCTATATTGGATCATGTTATGGTAATTATGTATGAAAAATAATATCGCCCAAATGTCCGCCAAGGCTTCAGCGGCACACCTCCACTCGATGGTCAAAATTTTTTGATGTCTCTGCATAGTTGCTCCTAGATCTCACCAGTATGCCTTATTATCTCTTACTTCAGCTGTTGAATTGTTATTGGCTTCTTGGCATAGACCTTATTTTTGAGATGTTTCGAGAAATGGTGCGATCTGGGAACTTTTCATTCAAGTTCTGTTTGAACGTCCAGTTTTGTAATAGGGTTCGATAACTTTAACACGTTGTTCGATTGTTAATCTTTCTATGGTTAACATTTCCAAAGGCTTAAGTTGTTAAATCTGAAAGAAAAAGAAAAAATCATTAGACGCTTAAACTTAATTCACATTTAAAATCGGTTCAAGTTATTGGAACACCCTTTATATGCTTGTGTATGTATATCTTAGATTTTTAAAATTGATACTACTTTTTGAGAAATTCAATCGCTATTGGTTTTCTCAAACAGTAGTATGTTTTAAATTTCTAACAAGAGTTCCCATAAAGCTGTTGATGTTTTCAAAAAGTAATATATATATATATATATATATATATATATATATTATATATATATATATCGTTTAAAATTTGGTATATTAATAGCAGAATGCTCAGTATGGGATATAAAGCTTTTAGAGATGTATAAAGTGTTGCCATCGGACTCAATACAGCATTGTGAGTGTTAGTTTCACGTTAAATGCGATCTTCAAATTAATATGCATGCATGTAGTTGGTGTATTTAGGCAGTAAATGTTCATTTAAACCAGAGTCGTTAAAAAGATTGGACGCATTATATAATACACTTTAAAATATTGACTAAATGTAGGATTGATTTCTGTATATTAGTAATGGAAGTATGATAGGGACTATCCACAGCTCATACAAGTTTAATATTTTAGATTTTGTATCAAAGACAAAGATTGGATCATTATTATCGGTGTGAACGCGAACATCAACTATACATATTGGAAACTGAATTGCAATTTTTTTTCATACATTTTAACGGTATTAAGATCTCATCACGATGTGCTACTTTCTTTTATCGTGTTAGGGTCACAAACAAACATCTCACAGAAATTTAGTCATTATAATATAAATCATCATCATCATCATCATCATCTTTATTCTTCCTTTCATTCGTTTTCAGTCTTACATGAATTCTGAAAACCATCGGCCGCAACATACAATTTGAGGAAGACCATAAATTCATTTTTCGCAACAAAATATAAAATAAAGAAGACAATTATCGGTGTAGAATATTTTTCCTTATTATTATTATTATTATTATTACTACTACTACTACTATTATTTCCCACTTTCCGTTATAATTATTAACATTATTATAATCACACACATTTTGTATAAATCTGTGGAAATTACTGAAGAATAAGTAACAGCATGTTTCCTCAAATTCCAAGCACTTTTCCCAATATTCTCACAAGGCACAACATCGTCTGTCGTCTCAAATTATCCTCTGATTTCATGCAATACATGCAATCTCAGTTTCAGTGTTATAAATAATAAAATAAATAATAATAATATAAAAGTAATAAGAATAAAATTTGTTTATTATTATTACTTTTTTGTTTCTTAATCAGATGCCGCTTCATCACTAATGACCTTGGGCAAACGAAGAATGTGCTTTTTTGTTATTTCCACTTAAACAAAAGACAGCTATCAACAAACAAAAAAGAAAGAACAAAGCTCTTCGCAGAATATGCGATATGCTTGTTAAAATTATTTTTTGAATTTCTCGGAGAAATAGTACACAAAGGATTTTGTTGATTTGTTGTTGAGTTCCTTTCTTCATCAGACCCAGAGCTCCAACCACAACATAACAGTTTTAGTTTTTAAGTGCCACATTTTTTTTTCTATTTCTATCTCTAGGTTTTGTATTTGTTTAGTTTTATGTTCAGCCGAACTACAGTCTCTAGTTCCATGTTCAGCCCTTCCCAGCAAGGACACGCCATGCCACATACACAGGATCAATTCCTCCTCACCCTCATCGTATTCCACTGACAAAAAGGAAGTTTTACCCAGTTTCTTCTCCAGAACTGTTAATTTGTGGAACAGACACCCAAAAGATACTTACCCGATCACTACGTTTAACCTCTCAAGTCTAGGGTCAACCCTTTATCTATCCTACATATCCTCATAATACACCGTTCTTACTTTCTTCTATACACCCTTATAACAACCTCATTCAGCAACACATTACTTTGAGTGTATCTTGCGCCTTGTATTAAGTGAAAATATTTATTAAAAAAAAACTTAACCATTACATTCTATTGATTCTTCAATTCTCAATCGAGGTTCTGGTATTTTGTGACATCTTCATTTTGCGATTAGTCTGTACAGATAAATTTATAATTTAGCAGATATCTTTCTTTCTTCACAGTCAGATCCGACCATTTTTCTTGGATGTTTTTCTTTTTCAGTCTAGTTCTCAATGTTATATTGGCGTGTGGGTAATGTTTAACGTGTTGAATCTGGTTGATCATTAAGAGTAAATTCTATCCACACTGAGTACTCCATACAAATTGCGATATTAAATAACCCAACCACGGTTTACACATCATAAGATCAACGAACTTAAACCATCAAAGGCCTGTTGTATTTTACTCTTTTTATTTTCTAGGACAATGTCTGATTTCTGCCTGAACCATTTCTGTACACAGACGAGCAAAAATTGTTTACTATTGTAACATAGAAAGGTTTATTGAATGAGGAATACTCAAAATGAAGGTTGGAAATGAAATGGTAATCTTTATAACATCAAAAAAATACAATACTCGCCAGCGGCGTGAAGTAGGTAAACCACTGCTAGTGGTGGGCTACTTAGCATATTACGATATTTACCTGCCTCTCCACGAGGTAGGATGCGGCACACGGCCAAATTTAATGTGGGGAAATCCGAGCCCGTGGGCTCGGGGAAAATTGCCCGTAGACCCCACAGGATCGGGTATCTGTCTACCTCCCCGGACGAGACTCTGCCGTTCAGCATAACCTCGTCCGGGTTCCTCTCTTCCAGAAGGCAGAGAGTTCGACACGGCAAGAGCTTCCTACGCTGCCAATCATGCTGCCAGCTTAGACAGCATATTCTCCCAACTTACAATAGTGTCCAACGTATTTATGAGGATTGAGACATACCCATTAGTGTTCATGACATTTACACAATTTCCAGTGTATCTTCCTTTTCTATGTGCCATGTCCTTTCATAAAGTTGGAGATCATGGCCGTCTACAATTTCCTGTCCTTTGTAGCTCTTAATACATTTTGTCTTTTTGTTATCTCTCCCAAACCCTGTTCTGTTATCCATTTACACAAGCTCACTAGGTGGGTTATGCATGATTTTCCTCTACCCCTCTTGCCTACAATCTATCCTGTGCGTATCAAATTGTCCAAGCCTTCTTTCCTCATTATGTGCCCTAGAAATTTCAGCTATCTCTTTTTCTGATGTTAAATATAAGTTTCCTTTTAGTTTCCATTTTCTCTGAAACTTCGTCATTCATCCTATTCTTCCCCAAATTTTTATTGTATTTTTATTTTATTTTTCCCAGCTAATGTGATATTTTCTGTATTTTTTCCCCTTTGATACAATTTGTCTTCATGCATTTATTCTGGACTGGTATGATTTTTTTAAAAACCCATTTTTCGTTTTAGATATCCTCTGCGTAATCACATCATGAATTTTCACCTGCGATATTTCCTTTCAAATTCTCTATATGCAGATTAACACGTTCACTGTTCGTTTCTCTAGTTGCATTGTTTTCATGATATATTCATTGCACTGCTGTTTCCCATATAACACCTTGGAACAGTTATCGGCGCTGATAAATTCTCTTCCTTTATTTTACATACAGTCCTTCGATATCATTTCTGGAGTGTAGAGCCTGGGCATCATAATTAATCTCCCAATCTGTTGATCTGTCGTGAGCATTTCATTTATACGTCTTCCCACTAAGATGGTATATGACAAAATGTTAGTGGAAATTGTAATAGTAGTCGTTTTCTTATAAGGATACATTCG